GAGGCTTTATATAGTCATTCAGATATTATAGTTTAATGAGTTTGTAATCGTCATCGCCATGAAAAAAAAAAGAAAAAACAAAATAAATAAATGAAATAAAATAAAGGATATGGAGAAAAAACTATGAGTGTAAATATCAAAAAGCAAATACTAAAAAGAAGTTTTATTTACAGCTACAAAAACAAAAGATAAACAATAGAATATAAGATAAATGCATACTTTTAATACGGTTTACATCAAATTTACATACCTAGTTCATAGCCGTGTACAGACATATACATATATATAATATATAATTCAATTTGCACAATGCTCTCCACTTTAAATGTTGTTTGTATGATTAGAAACGATGCATAGACCGAAACAAAAACATAGAAAGAAACTACAAAAACTATATTTCAATCATTGTATTTTTATTTATGTTAACAGGTTACTCCATAACAAAACAAAAACATAAATATATCTATATAAAATTAAATAAAGAAAAATACACAGTATTCAAATTTTGAGCTAATCCAAGCTAAAGTAAAACCATAAGGCATCAAAAACAAAAAAAAAAAAACAACTAAGCATATAAATATCATACTCGAAAAACATTAACAGTAATAGTAACAGAAACACTAACAGTTATTTACAGTGACCGTAACAGTAAGAGCAATGAAATCCATAGTAAATATGTTCTCTGTTTTCAAAAAGAATAAGAGGTAATAAATGAGTACCGTTTCGTTTCTCCAGCTTTAAAATAGTTACTCAAAATGCTTTCCCCAGTCCAKTTTAAGCAAAACAATATATATAATATATATGTATATATGCATATATGTTTATTCAATGAAACATTAGCTCCAAGCCGCACTCTTTATCACATATATAAATATATTGCTTACAATAAACTACAATTACAGTACTACAATACATCCCATAGAGAAAGCAACTACAACAACTTAAATAGAGCAACAGTAACTAACGACAACAGCCGATATCATATACTACTACTTGAGTATAAACATAATCTATGAACATTTATAACAAAGATTCAGTGGAGTGTTAAACTCAAACTGAAACAAAAGGCAAATCGAGTGAGAGAATAAACAAAGTTTGGGAATTGGGCTAGAAAAATATCAAAAATAGGTCAACAAATTCATAACAGTAACAATAACAGCAATAGTAACAATAACAGTAACAGTAACGAAAACAGCAACGGTAACAGTAACAGCAAGAGTAATAGCAGCAATAGAAAATTTTTGTTCTCTGCACTCGACTGTCCACTCAATTAATACATATGTACTTTATGTATCACAAACATATATAATTGTATTAATGAATACAGTATACAGTATATATATACACTCAGTATATATATGCAATCAATAAATTAATAAACGTAACTTGGATTCATTTACACACACTCATCTCTCAACTGCAATCAAGGTAAACTCTTGAGTTTCTGCTTCTGTTCGAAATAAAAGCTAATTCTCAACATTTGTATATATGATAAATGAAGTAAACCTATTTCAAAAAAGTCATTTAGTAAATGAGAAACAAACTAAACACAAAATAAATATATGAATTTCGATTAAGGAACAAAATAAAATACTTTTATGTAAATGTCAAATAGACAAACCTTAAGTAAAGCGAAAGAATGAAATTGAAAACCAAACTGAGAAATCCTTTAACTCATAAATTCGTAAAGTTTATAACGAAAACAAGAAAATGAAAGTAAATATTTTCATAAAAATAAAAACAACAACAACAAATGTGTTATTATTTAAATAAAAATTGAATGTGTACATAAAATGCAACTTGCCACAATTTGCTTTCATTTACGTTCAACCATGTGGCTTATCTGCTCAGCCGGAACCCAGATGAGCTGACCACCTATATACATATATATCCACTCATATGTATATATGTATGTGTATTGGGATTGCTCTCAGCTATTGCTGTAGACGGCTAGGCCAACCGATTTGATAGCTAATCGTTGTTGCTTTATACTTATGTTAGTCAAATGTGCTTTTGGACTTAGCAAGATTGAGGCCTTTGCGGGTGAGGCTTGACCAATGAATACGCCATACCTTTCTGTGTATACGCGAGCGTGTGCATGTGTGT